CTGCAGAGAGCATGTCCCGTGGCTGAACTCTTTTAAGTTGAGTATTTTTATTTTTATAGCAACTTTTAAAAATACACATTTGGGATTAATATTATCTAACTTTTAATGTAAAAATAAGAGAGAAGTGTACTATGATGATGAACAGGTCTGAAGCCAGTCCAGAACACCTCATTTCCCCTGTTCATACTCTATCTATCTCATGGGTGATGATGCCTGCTTTGGAGTTACTACCATTAGTATTCACCATTAGTATTTCACTCACTTTGTTGAAAATTGTGTTTTTGTAATTTCTGCTGACTTTGGAATGGCCTCATAATTATAACTGCCAAATAGTCAGACATCTTTGGGATTTCACTACCTGATCCCCTGCTGACATGGATCAAGGTCATGATCCTCAGTTAAAAAAAAAACATTGTAAGAATGTTCTAGAGCAACTCATCAAGTTAGACCTAAAGTAAATAACTACTTGCTTGACTCAAACAATTAGTCATATTTTTCTATTTGCCTTCTTGAATCTGGAGCTTCATAAAGCAAGTAATTCTCCATTATTAATATCTGTGTTAACACATTATAATATTTCACAATCAAAACAGAAAATTCAGCCTTAGTAACTAAACAAATATGTCATAGTCTATAGTTTTTTTTAACCAAGGAGACACACTTCTGAGTTTTAAAAGAAATTTGTTCATTTCTAGAAGCCTACAGCTACACTTGTAAATTCATTCTTACAGATTTAATGTCCCTTCACTATAACAGGTTACTAGTGTTGGTATTTGATCACATTCAGTGTCTGATCATATGAAACAAACAGGCAGGAGCAATCAGTAGTAAAGAAATAACCTGCATCCTACAAGAAACCAGGGGATCTCCCTGGCCCAGGCAAAATGACAGTTGGAACTGCAAATGCCCAGTTGCACTAATGAAAAGGTTAGTATCCATCTTAAAGTACAGGGCCTGTCAAGTTGGCCATCATTAAACATGAATGGAACCATAATTATATATCTGTTATTATTTACAGATACATAATGATTTCCAAAAATTTTTGAATTTAAGTTTTTCTAAAATATTCCAGAAGCTTCTCTGTAGTCTGAGAAATGTTTGTGCTCTTTTATCGCAAAAAGGGAACTATGTATGGGTGGTTTGTAACCTAACTCCCCTTGCAACTGGACCCAACTCTTTCCCTCACTGCAAAGGGTTCCTGTTAAACATTTTCCCTCTATTCTCTTCTTTATGCTCTACTCTTCAGTATTGCCTTTCTGACTAGCCTTTTTCCAGGCGTATCCATAAGCCCTCAGCATACATTAGTTCACAGGATCCTTACAATCCTAAGTGGCAGTAACCATCATCCCCATTTTACAGATGAGAAAACCAAGACACAGAACTTCAGACATTTTCACAAGGTCATACAAGCTTCGAAGAGTTAGGGCCAACATTAAAATTCAGGTCTGCTGTTACTACAGCCTGCATTTGAAACTGCCTAGATACAATCCTGCCTTATCATTCACTGCTTCCTTTTTTTAAACATCACAATCTCTTTTATTTGGGCAGTTTCCCCATACTCAAATATGAAGGGGGAATTTGCTAGGATTCTGTGTTCCCTAAATTCTAGGATGCCATCAATTTTAACTTTTTATTGTGGTAAAATACACATGGAAAATTTAGCATTTTAACCATTTTAAAGTGTATAGTTCAGCGGTATTAAGCACATTTACACTGTTTTGCAACCATCACCATTATTAATCTTTTCATCTTGCAAAACTGAAATTCTATATGCAATAAGTATTATCTTCCCATTCTCTGCTCCCCTCAGCTCCTGGCAGTCACCATTCTACTTTCTGTCTCTAAAATTTGACTATTCTAAGTACCTTATTAATAAAAAGGAAAGAGGGGAGAGAGGAAGGGAGGATGGATCCCAGCTAAAATGTATACATATACCCATTTTAAGATCATAAAACACATCCTAACTTCTGAAATATTAAATTGGAAAAATCTAATATTATCAGCCAATCACTAATTATAAGCATATAATCTTCTACTTGTTGGATTCCCAATGCTGGCCCAAGTTGCTTTTTGGTTCTAAAATAAAGTCTATCATGGTAGGTGTGTGGTGACAACTCAATTTCACTCCTATGCTTTTATGGTTCCAAACAGCTAGTCCTGCTCTCCTCTTCTTGCTTTGTTTTTTGCCTTTTGCTGCCTTTCTTCTTTCATCCTGTCATTCTCTGTGTGCTCGAGAAAACATACTTAATTTGGAAAGTTGGGGGCAAGGTGAGGAATTCATATACATAAGTTAGATGGATATAAATTTAGCAACTACAAAAATTCCTTCTCTCTCTAGAACTACATCTAGTTTATTTTGTTATTGTTACTTTTAGAATAAAAACTGAATCTTCATTAGTTCTTTAAAATATTTGTCATTTTGTGGATTCTCAAGGTTAAAATGTCAAATAATAAGAGAGAAAGCAACTAAAAACATTGATCAACAAGCCATTACCCATCCGAGGAATAAACTTAAAACAACTTCCATTCATTCGAACGTGCATTCCACTTTATCATCCATGGAGCATCATTCATTACAAATATAACTACTGAGCCAGGCATTCTTCTAAGCACTAGGAATACAGTATTTTTAAAAAATTAAGGGCAAAAATCGGATTCATGATGCTTACATTCCAGTTGAAAAGACAGAAAATAAATCATATAAACGTCACAAATACACTGCACATAAGAAAGTGGTGAATGCTAAGAACAAAATAAAGCAGGGAGATGTAAGACAAAGAATAAATGGGTATAATTTTAGTTAGGGTGGTGACGCATGGCCTCACTGAGAGCAGGACTTTTGAGTAAATACCAGAAGAATATGAGGGAGCTAGCCATAGAAACATCTGGGGAAAGAGCTTTCCAGGCAGAGTGAAAAGCCAGTGCCTGGAAAAGCCAGTGCAAAGGCTCAGAGGCCAGTGTACCTGGCATGTTAAAGAATCAGTGAAATAGCCAATGTGCTTGGCGTGGAGTGAATAAGGAGACATGTGATGAGAGATGAGGTCAGAAAGTTACGGGGAGCAAATCCTACGAGGCCTTGCAGCCCACAGTAAGCACTGTGGTTTTTACTCCGAGTAAGATGTGATGCCATTGGCAGTTTCTGAAAAAAGGCGTGAGTGTCATGATCTAACTTATATTCAGATGTAATCATCATTACTTTTTATCATTTCCAGAAATACTTTCACAGAACAAATTAAGCACATGTTAATGGAAATGTTTTAGACACATGTCAAAAATTGAACTACAGGTATGCTTAGGCTACTATTGCCATTGGTGGCCTCTGGGTGTGGGATAGAAATAGGTTCTACTAACAATAGTAAATTCCTTTTTTCACTGCATGCTAAATGGTCAGAAGAACATGGAGTAAAGAAGGGGTGAGATAGAACATTGAAATAGACTAAGGAATATGCCAGGAAACACCAATTTCAGAGCATGAAGCAATCCCCAAAGAAATCAGCAAACCTGGACCTTTAAATCTCTGGAGGAGAAGTTTGCAGAGCAAATATAAAGTATAATAGTAAGGCATTATATGTTTTAACAAGTAAAATATCTTCAATGGTCAAGTTTGCGTAGCTGCACCACTGCTGAAGGATTATATTATTTGCACTCAGAAACGCAGAGGTAAACCAGGTGGGAACACACAGTATTCAGCACAGGACTGGCTGGGAGCTCTAGTAATTGTGTCACATCATATGAAAACGTTTTAACTGTAGAATGTACTCTTAAGGTTCCCAAAGCAAGCAGTTTTCATGTCTACCACAGATCCAAAAGTAGATTACAATTCTTTCATACAATTCTCATTAGTTTTTATATCAACACAGTTAGCTCATTAGCATATTATTGCATCTTACTGAAAACTGAATATCCTTTAAACACAAAATATCTCCTTTCCTTTGTCCTCCACTGAATCTGTTTTTGTGACATTCTTTAGATTTTATGTAATCGTCACAGATTAAAATCCTGGTATTTACCACCGTGCCCAGACAAAGGGTAGCTCTGCCACATCATCAATTTTTGAGAAAGATGCCTAGAAAGAGGCCTCATTGTTCAGTGAATAACACCATTAACCCACTAATGCCAGAGGTTGCATTTTTTTTTTTTTTTGAAAAATGAGACCTTGGCGATGACTTTGAGCAGAATATAAATAACTCCCACAAGCTTAGCGTTCCAATAATGGAACACTACGCATAAATGGGTTAAAGGCCCAACTCCACAATTTAATTCGAGAACTGGAACTGACATGATTGCCATAAACCACTAGATGGCACTTCAGGTCAAATACTGCTGTAAATCCTGTGGCTTTTTGAATGTCTTTCATTATGCTTTCCATTTAGAATTGCTATTGGGTCCTTTACAGTGAAGAACCCAATATGACTGAGAAATCATCTATTATGTGCAAGATTCTTTCCCTTATAGGACTATTTGATTTAAGCCACAGGAGGTCATTCAAGCACAATCAAAAGGGAGTCCGTTTTTATGGGCAGAATCAGGTCATCCGCAGTTGGTATTTATAAAATGTACACTAATAGCACTTTTTAAAAAGTTATCCTTGGTCAGGCACGGTGGCTCATGCCTGTAATCCCAGCACTTTGGGAGGCCGAGGCGGGCAGATCACAAGGTCAGGAGATCGAGACCATCCTGATCAAGACGGTGAAACCCCGTCTCTACTAAAAATACAAAAAATTAGCCGGGCATGGTGGCAGGCACCTGTAGTTCCAGCTACTCAGGAGGCTGAGGCAGGAGAATGGCGCGAACCCAGGAGGTGGAGCTTGCAGTGGAAAAGATGGCGCCACTGCACTCCAGCCTGGACGACTGGAGTTTTTTGAAACTCCGTCTCAAAAAAAAACGAGCACATCTGTTGCCTTAAACTTTTCTTGTTCTAATCAGCTATTCTATGTTCTAAATTTTAGAATAAGCAACAAAGGATTCATAACACAGAATTTATAACAGGCAGACCCTACCATTTGACTCTGAAGCCATTCAATAAGCGTTTCTGCTGTTGAATCTGGGATCTGGCATCTCAAACCTTCTTTCTCATCTGTTTCCATCATCTCTAACAATCCACGCAGGTCTTCCACAAGGTGCAGAGCTCGCAAACTTCCCATGAATGGAGAGGTGGGAGATTGGCAATCAAAAATCCCATTGGAATATTCCAGGGCCTTAGAACCTAAGTTAAACAAAATCACAGAGAGAGCAATGGGATTTATGTTAGATAAAAATACCAAAGCCGAAGGTGGTAAACCAGTCTAGTCACAGTAAGGAACAATCAAAAGAGACAGAAAAAAGAGAATTCAATCACATAAATCTCTCCAAGTCAGTTACATGGTGCAAAAATTAAAACCATGTAGTTGATGGTACATATCCATGGTCCAATTCCTAACGAGGAGGCCAATCCTGGGGTATAGAAAGAAAAAGAACCTGGTGGGCTTTGGTGTGAGGTGTGCTGGCCTCATGGAGATGATGGTTAAGAAAGTAGCAGATCAGAAAATACAAATATTAGAGCTGGTCCATTCCGGACCAATACTGGACCAAATGATTTCTGGCTTAGAAAAACTGTGGATGAAGGGTTATGAAATGAACCCAGATATCAGAGTAAATTCTGAGGAAAGATAATGAGCTCAATGTGTTAAATGATTATATTGATATGCCTATAGGACATTTCTGGAGAGATATCTGGTTGGAAATTAGAGACAGGGACTGGAAGCTTAGCAAAGAATTGGGAAGGTAAATAGATGTGAACAAGCTGGGTGCAGTGACGCATGCCTGTAATTGCAGGTACTTGAGGTGGGAAGATCGCTTGAGTCCAACATTTCAAGGCTGCACTATGCATGTTATTCACAGGTAATCATGCCTGTAAATAGCCACTACACTCCAGCTTGAGCAACAGAGCAAGACCTCCTCTCTTAAAAAAAAAAAAAAAGAAATTTCAAGGCTGCACTATGCATGTTATTCACAGGTTGCCTGTAAATAGCCACTACACTCCAGCTTGAGCAACAGAGCAAGACCTCCTCTTAAAAAAAAAAAAAAAAAGAAATTGATATGGCCAGGCACGGTGGCTCACGCCTGTAATCCCAGTACTTTGGGAGGCCGAGAAGGGTGGATCACAAGGTCAGGAGTTTAAGACCAGCCTGGCCAAGATGGTGAAACCCCGTCTGTAGTAAAAATACAAAAATTAGCCAGGTGTGGCAGTGGGCACCTAAATCCCAGCTACTTGGGAGACTGAGACAGAGAACTGCTTGAACCCGGGAGGTGGAGGTTGCAGTAAGCTGGGATTGCACCACTGCACTCCAGCCTGGGCAACACAGCGAGACTCCCTCTCAAAAAAACAAACAAACAAACAAAAAAAACCATATGGGAGTCGTTGGTGAACAGTGAATTTTGAATTCAGGAAAACAGGTCAGAACGTTCACGGTTACTGGGTAGAGCAGTGTCCCTCGAAGTATGGTCCACAGATCACCTACACCAGAATCACCTGAGATACAGATTCTTAATCCTTGATTAGAAACCTAGGATGGAACTAGAATTTTTGATACTTTAAAATAATGTTTGAGAATAATGCTGGCAGAAAATGGAGAAGAAGAACAAAGGCGAAATTACAGGGAAGCAAAAGGCATAGGGCTAAAAAATGAAAATCAAGTGAAAAGATAATATGAAAGTTGTAGTGAAAAACTGAAGTGAGCAGAGTAAATGTTGTGATTCTGTCTTTCACAGGATGCAGATCACCTGCTATGATACCATCCATCTGCTCCAATGCCGCAGCCAACATATCGCTTGCATCACTCATCATTTTCTTATTTGTCAGGGGCAAATTCCAACCTAGATCTGGAAAAAAAAATGATGTTATTACTATATCCATTAAATGGCATAGGCTTGCTAGTGGGTTTGCTAATTCAGGTTCAAAGGATAACTCTGCTGTGTAGTCAAATATGGAGGAGGAACTTCAGTAGTGGAGTAGTAAGCTGTGGCCACTCACCTACTGTAGCGCAAGGCCACATGTGATACCTGTATCAGTTAATAAAGAAGATTCCATTCTTGCACTTGCGGTGTTTAAAATCCACTAGCATGGTTTCCATGCTGTTCTCTAGAACTCTAGGCCTCTGTAAAGGGCAACAGGGATGGCCATGGAAGCTTGCTGAGGGCCATGACATGCACTGGCCAGACAAGACTCCTTTCTCCCTTTACCAGCCCCACCCAATCTCTGCTCTATTAATTTTTTTTTTTCTTTCTGTATAACGGCTTAAGATTTGTCTACAAAAAGGATTCACTAACACATATACTATGTGTATGTGCGCACACACACACCACACACACATACACTCCTACTGGTATTAAACCTTTTGTAATGGAGCCACAGGTGTCACATACTGAGTACCTACAATGGTTCCTACACATTTACATAAATTATCCATAATACTTAGACAACAGCCTTATAAAATGTGTGAATTCATCTCCATTTTATAAATGAGGATAAAAGATATTTGATTTTTGCATGGAAACACAGCAAAGTAAATACAGCAAAGTTCAGTTTCTAACCTAGGTCTGTCTGACTTCCACTATAATACATAATTTCTCTTTACCTGATCCTATCTGAAGATGGGTCTATCCTGAAATTATGTCACAATCTATTCATTGGTTTATCTGTTAAAAAATATATTGAGATAATGCTTGCCAAAAATTTAGTCATTGGCACAAAAAGTCAAGATAATGTGATTTTCAACATTCATTAACGCATTTCAGGTACCAGACTAAGCACCCAAATAAAGCTCTTACTATGTTATATATACTGTGATAGAACAAATACCTGGGAAATAAAAGGCATATGCTGTTTCACAGAAACCTTTGCCCTCTGTTTCCAAGCAGCCAAATCTCACCACTTTATTTTCACAAATATATTTATAGTTCTGATATCAGCTTCTTGGATCAGTTCCCAATTATGCATTCATTCTAACATAATGCCATATAATTGTTGTAAAATATTGTTTTGAATTAAAGTCATTTCACTTAAGGATTTTCCAGAACTTTACTCACTTCCAAAGGTGAAAAATATCACTACCATTTATCTGGAAATACTACAGCATGAAAATACTCAAGGTATGTGTCTATGGTTACCCAGAAAACAAGGAATCAACAAGTTAGGTTATGAACCTAGGTCATTCCAAAAAATGTATTCACACACTCAGCCAGTGCGCCATCCAAAGAAGCAAGACATGCATTTAATAACCACATTCTTGTCTGAGAAACTCAAAACATGAAAACTGAGAGCGTAAAGGATTAAGCTGAATTACATAATTAAGTGGCTTGCATGCTCTTTCATTTAAAAAGCAGTATTTTGTATAGATACATTTATATATGTGTATATATAAAACAAAGAGACACATACCAGGCTCAGCTATAAACATGGGAATACCAATAACACAAAGTAATGCCCATGTTAGAAAAACATACTTTCTCACTAAATCAGAAAAACAGATTCGTCTTTGTTAGCAACTATATTTTGTGTAGAGCATAAACACTTTTTCAAGTCCGACAGGTATAGTAGTTACTGAGTTCTTCTCTGTTCTGTTCAATGAGCCTTTCAAATGCTATTACATGAAGGTATGAGACAACCTGGATCACACTTTTCAAAGTAGTGAAGAACCAGTTCTTCAAAACTTTCCAATTCATCGGAGATGAATCTCTTCATTTCATAAAAATATGATGACAATGTTAAATTGCTATGAAAGTTCAAAACGCTAACTCTTAATCTCTATATCATGTAGCAGCCTACATGTACTAGTAAGGGAAAGACAGTACATACAAGTAATAAACACATACGTAACATGGCAAAGGTGGTAGGTGCTAAGGGGGAAAATGTAGTAGGATAAGGGGGTCCAATTTGGAAGGTTTTGCAAATTAAACAGGTAGCCAGGGACTGGCATTAGAATCAAAGGCCAAAGATTTCGCTAATAAGTTAAAAGTAGTCAAATATAAGTGGTCCAGTTCAGTGGTATTCCAAGTGTAGAATTCCTAGAAATCAATGAAAAAATGAGAGGTGTGAGGATATGAACAATCATTTGGCAGAAATGTTTTCAACCAATAAAAATATGAAGAGGTGCTTAATATCATTAATAAACGAGGAATCTGAAGGAATGTGATAATGCTTTATACCCAATTAGTGAAAAAAAATTGACACAGCCAGTGTTGTGGAGAATATGAATTCACAGAAACTTTACTTTTTGTTTGTTTTTGAGACAAGGTCTCACTATGTTGCCAGTTGGCTGGTCTTGAATTCCTGGGCTCATACAACCCTGCAGCCTCAGTCACAATTTTATTAAATCCAAAGGCAGTAATGAAGGAACAATGGACACATAAGAGGAAGAAAAATCAATAGCCAAGGTGGTAGACTTAAACTGAAGCACATAAATAATCGGATTAAGTATTGTGTAAGTTGGAGCTAAGCCATGGGTATGCAAAGGCATACAAAGTGGTATAAACGGACAGTGGAGACTCAGAAGCAGGAAGAGTGAGAGGAAGGTAAGGATGAAAAACTACCTATTGGGTACAATGTACACTATTCAGGTGACAGGAGCACTAAAATCCCAGACTTCACCACTATACAAAGCATCCATGTAACTGAAAACCACTTGAACCCCTAAAGTTACCGAAATAAAACAATTTTTTAAAATAACATTTTAAAAATTACATTAAGTACAAATGGAATAAACACTGATAAGGGCCAGAGATCATCAGATTAGCTTTTTTAAGTCCTAATTATGTGCTATTAATAGAGACTTTAAATATAAAGAAATATAATAGTAAAAGGATGAAAAATGAGATAACATACATATGTAAGCATAGGAAAGCAGGAGCGGATATATTAAAAAAACTACAAATCAGGAAGTATGACTAGAAAGAAAGATATTTTACAATGATAAGAGTTAATTCATCAGGAAGTCACAACAAGCGCAAATGTTTTTGCAACTAATAACAGAGCTTCCAAATACATGAAGCAAAAACTGATGGTGTTAAGGGAGAATTTAATCCACTTATATTTAATGTAACATAAATACGGTTGACTTGGCTGGATTGAAATCTACTGATAAGGTTGGATTTAAGTCTATTGTCCCGCTATTTCTTTTCTGTTTCTCCCATCTATCATTTGTTCTTTTACAACCTTCTTTTGAATTGACAGGTAAGGTAGGAAAAAAAACTTAGTAACACACAAGATTTGAAAATGTTATCAACTATCTTGACCTAATTCAATTTATAGAATAAAACACCCAAATGCAGAATGTACCTTCAAGTCTACACGTTATATTCACCAGGATAAGGCATATATGCAAGGCCACAGAATCAGTTTCAAAAAATTTCAAATGGCTTTTAAAGAACTACACAGAAGAATAAGAAACACACAACCTGAAGTGGTGAAATACTAAGAATAGACTATCCATATTTATTAAAATTCTGTCTTGCCCATGGCTGGAGCTATTTTAGAGACAGCTTAATTTGGCAGGCATCTGTGTTGATAAAGCTATGTTAATTTTCAGGGCTAGGACAACGTATTTTTAAAAATGAAAAGGCTAAATAAAAAAGCTTTGGAAAATCCCCTGGTCTCTAAAAAGACCTTCTTAAATCCTCAAAAACATTTCTGAGAGGAAGATTCCCTGGGCTTCCTCATATAATTAATATAATAAAATATTATTCTAATACAATGGAATATTATTCTACAGTAAAGAGATGGAACAAATAATACATGCAACATTATGTTGAGCAAAAGAAGCCAGACAGAAAGGACCATGTACTATACGATAGTTCCATATGAAATTGAAGAACAGGCAACCTATGATAGAAGGTAGAGTAAGAAGTACTTACAGAAAATGGTGAGTGACTGAAAGGAGACACCAGGGGAATTTCTGGTCAATATCTTGATTGGGATATAGGTTACACAAGTTCATACATTTGCCAAAACTCATCAAACTATGCAATGGTCTTTAAAATTTGTCAGGCATTAAGAATCCCAATGTCAATCCCATTTAAGTTCTTTATTTTAACTAGGAAAGAACCATTTGTTGTTGGCTAAATGTTGAAAGCATAAAATTCATTTAGGAACTAATTTAATTGGGAGTACCTTTGAAACACATGCATTAATAACACTGTTTCGCTTCTAACTGTGGCAGATGTAATTGGTGCCCCCTCTGTAATTCCATGCATGCCAGCCCAACTTTTAACTGTCTAAGATTTCAGGGAGCCCTCTGCCATTGGATGTGGTGGTCTGAAAATGCCAGAGAATTAATATCCCTTTAATATTTAAAGTTATCAGCTTTAAATATTCCAGCACACTTTCCCCCAGAAAGAGAAAATTCTGATTCATGTAATCTACATTGGTTCCCAGAATTATCCAGACAATTAAGATCTAGTCAGAGTGGTAACTTGTTTGATAATGCATCATTTATCAGTTCTCTTCTTTATTTCTCTAAGTCTTTCCTAGGATTACTTTCCAAATAAAACTTTTGTATTTGAAAAATTAGGAAAGAGAAGTTGGTTGTTAGAAATTAGGCATAAAAATTCCACTTTAAAAAAGAACTAAATAATGAATGAAGTTGGACATGCATGGACCTCTGCATCTAAGACTATGATGATAATGTGTCACGAATCAAGGATCATGAATAATCCAATTATATGAACCTATGGTCTAAAATAAAAGGCTCAGAATATTCAGCTCCATTTCTTCTCATTCTTTGCTTACCCAGAAATCTGCTAGTTATAATTGAGTTCTTTGAGTGGACAAAACCACTTAGAAAATTACAACTTCACCATCCAAGGCCAGCCACAGTGATTCACCT